TGCCGCGGTCGGTGATCAACTGACGAGGAGCACCTGACGCAGAATGATGTCATGAAGAAGGAAATCGGCTACACTCAGTAGCGCAGCTGGTGGGGAGGGCGCGTGTAACGGCATACCGCGTTGCGTATAGTCGGCAGCAATAGCCAATCCACTTATACCGGTGGCCAGACACGGGAAAGGGTCCCTAGAAGATCGAGGCCGACTCGGAAAAATGGCTCATCTGGTACTTCAATGGGCTGGAGGGTACCAGCAGGTCTCAGAGCAGGTGTCTTGCGGCGCTGGCAGAGGTCGCATGCCGCGACGTACTGTCGCACAGAACGGTAGAGGCCAGGCCAAAGAATCGGCGGCGAATGCGGTCATACTGTGCGTGACACCCCTAGGTGTCCCAGCGGAGGGGGGCATCATGCAGCTGGGCCAAATCGTCTGAGCGAAGATGCACAGGAACAACGAGTAAAAGCTCAGCACCATCGGGGCGGGTGTTGTAGCGGTGCAAGATGTCGTTGTGAAGAACGAACAGTTGTAAGGAGTGGTCAGGGTGGGGAGAGTGCAGACCATTGATAATAGCACGCAAAGAGGGGTCGCGGCGTTGTTCAGCAAGCTATGTCGGTGAAGTCGGTAATTGAAAGAACGAGGGCCTCTTGCTCATCTTCCCTCGTGTCAGGGGGATCGACTGGGTAACGGGACAAGCAGTCGGCATTCCTTGTGAAGTTGTCCGGATTTATACGATACGGAAAAAGTGTACTCTTGTAAGCGCAGCGCCCCAGCGACCAAGGCGTTCCCGTAGGGTCCTTGAGTGAGGAGAGCAGCAAAGCGCGTGGTGGTCGGTAATAACTGAGATTGCTCGGCCATACAGGTACGGTCGGAATTCGCAATGGCCCAGACGAGAGCTAAGCACTCGCGTTCTGTGATGGAATAATTTTGTTCCGATCGCGACAACCAGTCGGCTTGCATACGCGACGAACGCGGTGCATACCTTGTTGCCGCTGCGCGAGCACTGCGCCTATGCCGTGGCGACTGGCGTCAGTACGAAGCTCCGTGGCGGCAGATGGGTCGAAGTGTGCTAGGACTGGTGGATTGGTGAGAATGTCAACGAGCGACGAGAAGGCGTTTGCTTGCTGTTGGCCCCAGGTGAATGTTGGACATCCGTTTTGAGGAGGCAGGTTAGAGGAAGGGCTACTTCAGCAAACGTCTCGACAAAACGACGGAATAGGAGCACAGTCCCAGAAAACTTCGGACGTCCTTGGCTGAGCGGGGTGTGGGGAAGTCGCGAAACTGCTCGGACTTTCGCAGGTCTGGTTGAACGCCCGCAGCGTTAACAAGATGGCCGATTACGCAGATTGGCGTTGCCCAAAGCGGCATTTGGACGAGTTAAGTTGCAAGTTGGCACATCGAAAAACATCAAGCACTGCGGACAGACGGGTAAGATGGTCGTCGAAAGTAGTCGAAAAAACAATAACGTCGTCAAGATAGCAGAGGCAGATGGTCCACTTCATGCCTCGAAGGAGAGAGTCCATCATGCGCTCAAATGTCACGGGGGCATTGCATAATCCAAAAGGCATCATCTTGAACTGATAAAGTCCATCAGGAGTCACGAAGGCCGTCTTCTCTCTGTCTTTGTCGTCCACAGCGATCTGCCAGTAGCCTGAGCGAAGGTCTATTGAAGAGAAATATTTGGCACCGTGCAAGCAATCGAGTGCATCATCTATGCGCGGTAGGGGATATACATCTTTCTTGGTAATATGGTTGAGATGGCGGTAATCAACACAGAATCTCCAGCTATTGTCCTTCTTTTTAACAACTACAACGGGTGAGGACCAGGGACTAGATGAGGGTTCGATTATGCCTTTATCAAGCATTTTATCGACTTCTCGCTGTATAATAGCACGCTCCGGGGCCGACACACGGTAGGGTCGTCGGCGAATGGGTCGAGCGTCACCGATGTCGATGCGATGGGTTACCACGAATGTCTGGCCCAAATTACGGTCGCCGAAGTCAAAAAATGTCCTGATAAGAAGCAAGCACACGGCAGAAAGCAGAGACTTGTTCAGAGGTGAGCTTGTCAGATAACATTGGCTTGAAAAGGTCGGAACAGGAACGTGACGAGAACGACGTTGATGAAAAATCGGGTGGCGCATCGGTGGTTAGAGCGGAAACTGTGTGGTCGACCAGTGGTGTAAGATGCGCAAGTGACATGCCGCGAGGAATAACTTGCGCTGAGAGGCCGAAATTGAGGACGGGAAACGAAGTTCGGTTGTCCTTAACGGTAACCACCGTGTTGGGGAGTGCAACATTGCGTGTCATGGTGACGTCAGAAATTGGGGCAGCAACATAATCACCATCGGGTACTGCAGGATATGGCGAGAGTTGGACTTGGACTGCGGCTTGCGGCGGAAGTCTAAGGAAATCGACAGAGCGTAGACGAGGTGGGCTGGTAGAGACGGTCTCCGAAAAGGATGGTAGTTCGAGCCGAAGAAGACCTTTGGAACAGTCAATGAGTGCAGCGTGTGAAGTCAGAAAGTTGAGTCCAAGGATGAGGTCATGAGGGCAATTTTCCAGTACAGCGAACAGAACTGAAGTTTGATGCTCAGAAATTGTTAATCGCGCAGTGCACATTCCAAGCACAGCAGGAGTACTCCCATCCGCTGTACGAACGGTAGGTGCAATCGCAGGCGTCAGAAATTTTGGAGGCGGCGGCGGAGGTCTGAGCTCATCACAGATATTTGTGCACAGGTATCAATAAGAGCAGTTATAGGTAAACCATCAACGAGAATTGTAAGGAGGTTGCACCGCTGGTCGGGAGTAATCAGAGGATTTGCAGTCCGAGTCGTGTATGCAGCGTCACCTCCGGGGGCTGCACCGGCTAGTTTTCCGAGCGACGGTCGTAGGGAGACCAAGAACGGCGGGGTTTGGGCGAGCGGGACTGACGACGCATGGGCGATGGCGAGCGGCTGGTCCGACGTTCTGGATTATGCTCTGCACCTGTCTCAGCACGGTAGAACGGGGCATAAGGTGCACGTTCAGAGCGAGGCCGCCAATCATAGAAGCTCGGTCGAGGTGATGAGGTCCAACGGCTGCGGCAATGGCGAGCGATGTGTCCTATCCGATGGCACGTGAAACATATGGGCCGATCATCATGAGTGCGCCATTCAGCTGGGTTTCGTCGTGGCGCGAATGTGCGGTTCGGAGTGGCAGCCGCAACGACTGGAGCCGAGCTGGAAGTAGCAGGGGCATTTTGATGAGGTGGCGAAATGCCCATATTCGCGATCTCTTGGCGAACCACGGCCTGTATCATTGAAACAGCATCGAGGTTGTGTCCTGGCGCGCTGACGCTAGACATAGCGGGAGCCATAGCCTCGAGTTCCCTACGGACTATTCTGGTGACGTTTTCTGGCGCTGGTGGTTGGTGTAGTGTGGGCAAATCTTCGCAAGAGGACGTAGCCGCCGTGTTGGGAAGGCGGTCAAATCGGTGAACTATGCGCCTACTTTTTGCCTGTTCGAAGCGACACTCTTCGATGACCGACCCCACCATCGAGAAGTCCTTGCACAGGAGAAAATTGAAGGCGTCATCCGCAATTCCTTTCAGGATGTGTCCGACTTTGTCCTCGTCGAGCATGTCCTTGTCGACCTTGCGGAACAAAGCCAACACGTCCTGGATGTACGCGATGTACGGCTCTGTGGATGTCTGGGCACGAGTCGCAAGCTCTTTCTTTGCGGCCACTTGACGTCCGATGGGTTTCCCAAATAGATAGCGCAATTTCTGCTTACAGACGTCCCAGCTAGTCAACTCTTCTTGATGTGTCTCGTACCAGAGTTTTGCCGTGCCATGCAAGTAGAAGATGATGTTCGCCAACATAAGCGTCGGACCCCAATGGTTGCTGCTGCTGACGCGCTCATATTGAACCAGCCTGTCATCGACGTCTATGCCACTTGTGCCGTTCAATGGACCTGGGTCACGAGGTTGCACCACAACGATCGGCTGCGGGGCTGACGAATCTTGTTGACATTGAGTAGCCTGGTCAGTCATCGTGGTAGCTGCAATGCGCCGTCCGCTGCGAAGATCCAGCTCGTTGGGCTGTATAGCGAGTGGTACCCCGCACCTTCCACCAATGATGTTACGGGGAATAAAGTATGCACTGGTGAACAAAAGCGTACTGGCGAATATACTGGCGAGCTAATGCGTACGACGCTGCTGTAGTCCGAGCACGTTCCCGTTCAGCACTTCGTCGTCGTCATCCTCAGGCATCTACTTAGCCCGTGACAATATGCGATGGAAGTACAGGCAGGGGCAGCACCAGGATTTAGTCACTGGCGGGGGAGGGGAGGGGGCAGCCACAACAAAAGAGTTTGTTCAGGGGAGCAGGAAGTTGCTCTTCGGGGAGCGCCACAGGGGGGGAGGCGATAATTGTACACGGGCTCCCCCCTCCCCCGTCGTACACCCCGCTAGTGCAGCCCCTAGGTTTAGGAAACAAAGCGAGCAATCAGTAAACACCATGCATCATTTCGACGTCGGGATGGAATCTAGACCTCCGGACGCGTAACTAGAGCGTGCATTCAGAAAGAATCTTCACGGCTTCTGAGGAATTTCTACGAAGGCGCTGCTGAGAAAATCCCGCGAAAGCTGCGAATGGCGAACCAGTGCAGTGGAACTATCGGGCATATTATTTTTAATAAGCCATGCACACGTCGCTGGCGAATTTCTAAGAAAAAAAAACTGCCGAAGGAAAATGTACTCGATTTCTTCGTCGTGATCTCCGAGCCTTAGAGTTTTACAGAACTGTGCAAATAGTTAGCATGTTAGAGCACAAGCTTCTGGCTACATTTTCGGGTCGGTTAGCATAGGTTCCGGTAAACACAAAATGCGAAAAAAAGCTATTGTTTGTGCAGTATCTCCAGAAGGCTACTGCGCGTTACCTAATGACGTTAAAGCTCCAATCAATAAAACAATCAATCAATGACATGGGTTTCGGTAGGTGGCTATATCTTGAAAGCATGAAACCAACCTTGACTGCGACGCTCTGCTGGTCTTCATAGCTGACCCACAGTTTTTCTCGGTGCAGGTAAGGCACCATGGCTTCGGGGTCGTACTCCCGGTGAGCGCCGTTTTTCAGCAACCTGCACACCTGTCGGGCACACAAGGCGTGGAAATAACGCGATTTAATGAGCACAGAAACAGCTTGCACTGACTCTACATGTTTACCATAGCTTTGAGCAATTGAAAGCACGACGAGTTACGGAACTTCAAGAGAAGGACATCCATTCGCTATGGAAGGTGTACCCAGGAATTTTTGTCTGGGAGAATGGTGGGAGAGGATTGCGTGAAGAACGGCTAACTTTGCCAACTGGTGGTCGCTGTTAAGACCTGTTGTGTATGTTTTACTATCACCCGTAAAGCTAAAGTGTGAAGAAAAATTGGGAACGGGAGGGAGGGTGCTCAGAAACTCTTCAACTATTTAGCCACATAATTAATTAATTGTCATCAATGCCATCATCGTAACTGTTCAGTAGTCAGAAACACCACTAGAAATTTTAACTTATGAAAAGAAGACATGCACAGGTGTAAGCAGGATTTAACAGTGGCGGGGGAACGGCAAGTGTAACCCCTTTTCTCCCCCCAATCCCAGTTAAGTTCGAAAGAAAAGCTCTGCAATAGATGTAAAATTGAAAATCAAGCAGCGACGTCTCTGACTTGCTTTTCACACAGGCCTGCCATTGGTTTTCGTCTCCCCGCGGTGAAGTTGGGAAGTAAACAGTTAACGTTCACAAAAATTTGGGACATCTGGACGTGGCGCCACCTGTCGGTAGGAACGGCGGCCCGCCATAAATGGATCGGAAACAGGTGAGAAACAAAACCCCTCTCTTGATAAAAGGTATCAAAAACGGCCCCGGGTCATATATAGCGTAGACCCACTGGCACATTTTGGCAAAGTTGCAGTATTGCACTACAAACCCTGTTCCCAGAATGCCGCTCATAGAAACATATTGGATCGCATTGTTAAATATTACACGCTGTGGGAAGCTAGGTGGTTTGTACTGTGTAGCTTTGCCAGACTGTTCAAGTAAGTGTCTGCTGTATAAAAGCGGGAGTCGCTTTTGATGACTATTTTTTTTTGTCAGATGTGATCTTTTTCTCCAATATTCCGTTCACTTACGGCAGCCAACCGCAGTGGCCGACGAGAGACGGCGCTAAAATCACATATCTCCTAGAGTTAACTGTATATGCTCCTTACGGGAGCAAGGTAGCAATATCATCATCATCATCATCACCACTATCATCATCAGCCTGACTACGTCCACTGCAGGACAAAGGCCTCTACCATGTTCCGCCAGTTAACCCGGTACTGTGCTTGCTGCTGCCAATTTATACCCGCAAACTTCTTAATCTCATCTGCCCACCTAACCTTCTGTCTCCCCCTAACCCGCTTGCCTTCTCTGAGAATGCAGTCAGTTACCCTTAATGACCAGCGGTTACACTGTCTACGCGCTACATGCCCGGCCCATGTCCATTTCTTCTTCTTGATTTCAGCTATGCTATCCTTAACCCCCGTTTGTACCCTAATCCACTCTGCTCTCTTCTTGTCTCTTAAGGTTACACCTTAAGAGACAAGAAGAGAGCAGAGTCTAATGTCTCCGAATCTTGGTCATGTTGAATGCCGAACTGGGGGTCGCTGGTAGCCATTACCATTAAAAAAAAAAAGCGTAGCTCTGAGCATTAAAAATGACGTGACAAGCATCACCGAACTGGGCAAATTTAATGCCCCCCCCCCCCGAATTGAGATGACTTAAGGGGGGGGGGCCGCCCCTCTCGTGCGCATGCTTCTAAAGGCACATCTCTTAGCGCGCTACATCTACCCAAATGACTTATTTTGTACTTCAGGTCAACCCTTACACATAGGTTTTTATAGTGATGTGCATAAGTCATTTCGCGAGTAATTACGTATATGTAATATACAGCGCCGTCTTTTTTGCTCCTACCCTGTCCTGTGTTTCTGGTGTTGCGCTGTAAAGACGCTCGCAATGAATCCCAACCAACTGGTCCAACTTACCGTCTTACTGCTAAGCGAGCCTCACCGCTTACCCCAAACGCACCTACCGAGAAAACGGGAGCAGACTGGTGGAGGAAGGTGAGGCCATCAATCAGAAAAGAACGCCCTTCACAATGCGTCGACGTGAGAGAGAGAAAAAAAGTAGAAAGAGAGAAATCACGGATGATGCAAGAAGTGTTAGATCTGCACAAAATTTCACTAACGTTTTTTAGAATGAAAAGACCGTGCTAGATACTGCGTAAAAAAAGGTATGAATAACATGCTTTTGTTGACTCCATGCTTGTCATGGTATCTCCTATTGAATATATTGAACGTCTCACGGGGGCGTCTTGTCTGTATAGAAATTCTACATATGCATACTTCGACAGAGTGGGGGCGTACGCAGCCAGAAATTCTTTTCAGAGATGGTTCAATCACCCTTCACGTGTGTTAGTGCAGGCGTTTGTGGGTGTGCGTTTATCTATGCACATGTAAAATTGAAAAAAAAATTCAAGAGGGAACACACCTCCCCTTCTCCCGGCTACGCCAGTGCTTGTATGAATGAAAAATGAAGATGGCCTCTTAAATTGGCCATAGTTGGTTCATTAGCATAGTGGTGAAACAGCGCACGCAGACGACGGGACGCTGTCAGCGCTGTGTCCTGTACATTCTTCGTCCCGTCGCCTGCGTTGCTTCGCCACAATGAAGATCGCCGCCTTTCGCTGAACACAACTGAATATGTGAGCGGATCTAACACGGCTGCAGCGTACTTGAGTATTGGCCCCCTATAGTTTTGTCAAGCCGAAATGTTGACATATTTCGAAACGTTGAAAAGGTTCGAGGTGGTAACTTACGCAAAAATTTGGGAAGTGTCGCAGAATATTAGTTCGATGATAACCTTTTCTTTTTTACCGGTAAGCCCAGCAGAGGTTCCCCCATGACAGGCGCAATTCTAACAACGCTTTTCTTCCCATTCGTCGTCACCTTCTGCTTTGAGCGAAGGTGTACGATTGATAGGACTCGGAGACACGTACGTCGGCGTAAGTGACGAATCCGCCGCCGTGCTTGTCGCGACCGGAGGCGAGCGAGCCGACCGTCCAGCGGCCGGAGTCGCGCAGCACCCACGACAGTCCGTAGGTCGGAATGCCCACCATGATTTTGGACTTCGGCATGCCCAGCGACGCCCACAGCTTGGCGCTAGACTCCTGCGTGAATCAAAGGCACGCCATTCACAAATAGAAGTACTACCACCATATTGTACATAAAATATTCCTTCCTAATCTGAAGCATCAACTAGCCCTGTTTGCTGAACATATTTCATACTTGGCACTGTGTTTGAAACATGAAGAAGGGCCATATTAGCGCCCACTTCACGTTTTAATCACGCTCGAAGCTAAAAAAAAAAACAAAGTAAAGTTCTAAGTATGCGCAATGGCGTGAAGACGTGACGTCAGGCATTCGTCACGGAATTTATATTTAAAAAATAATACTTAAGATGTGTATAGCACAACCAAAGTTTCGCTGACAAAAGCGGACTATTTACTTTTAAAGTGAAACTCTTATAATATTTCTCTTGTCTTGGTTTCGGTCTCCGCTTTCGCTGTTAATTTTAAATCGCGCGAAACGCAATAAACAGAGGTGGTATTTTGTGCGCCTCTGTCTGTTTTCTTTGTCCTATCTTAGCGTTCCAAGCACTGAGCCAGGAATAACATTTTTAACAAACGTAGACAGTAACTGGTCTGCGAACAAGTTCTAAACCATATTCTGTGCATACTATTCAACTCAGTTCAATGTATATTTACAAAACGCACGCATTGTTCAGCATTGAAGGTCTCCTAGAGCTTTTACGTGAGTACGCTACATTTCAGGAACAAATTCGCGCGTCTGTTTTCCAAGCGCTTTCAGCAACCATGCACTGTGAAGAAGAGGACGATTGCACATTTTTTTTGTATTTCCGGATGCCGCAGCTGCAACGAACGCTAATCACAGCTAGAGACAAGGGCGTGCGCTAGTTAAGACTGGCAAAGATTGTAATAGTGTGTAACGTGCAAAGTTAGCTGACCACACTGAAGGCCGTTTCTCACGGATATGGGTGGTAATCGAGCTGCGTAGCTTACTGCGACTGCGTATAAAAAATAATATCCCCAATTATCAGAGGGAACGTTGCTCCCCTGCCTGCATTCCCCTCCGGACGCCCATGGTTAGGAAAGTTCGTCGTCGGTCGGCGACACGCTACGCAGGTCGCCTGCAAAAATGGTTTGACTTCGCCGCATAGCTGTGGTTGATATTCAGGCAATATGGCGACATGCGCGCACCTGTAACCAAAGTGTAGCCCATACAGTAACTCTGAGGTCTCCTTTCGTATTCATGTACTTTGTGTGGTCAAGGGAAACACATACACGTGAGGCAGGAAAGAAACAAATAATTTAATAAAATCACGAGAAATGCACAGATTTCGAGCGTTTTCTATGGTTTGTACAGATGCTGTACGTATGCATACATACTTATCCAAAGTAATGCGCTTGTATACTAACAAAATAGTAAGAGAAAATATATAAAAAAGAAGGAATACGAAAGAGAAATCGAGCCTAAAGCACACGAAAGAAAAATAGAGGAGGAGGAGGAATGAAGGAGGAAGGACGGAGGAAGGTCAGCCAGTTCTCAGACCGGCTGGCTACCTTGTGCTTGGTTGTGCCCATGGAAGAAGAAAAATAAAGGAGGGAGCACTACGTCACACGAGTGAAGCCCACCTTGTCGGCCCAACACGTGCTCAAAACGTCAGAGCTTGTGGTAGGTGTTAATAGTCGCGGTGCTGTTCCGTCTTTGAACCACCTGCGCGAACCGGCTCGTCTGCGCCGAACCAGCGCGTTTAGATTAAAAGTTACCGGTCGCCGCACTCCGAAGTATTGGCAAGTCTCATTGCTGGCGCGATTTTCCACGAAATGTCACGTGTTGCGCCGACAAAGCTGGCTTCAAAACGGCACGGCTTGCCAAGGCTGCCCACGTGACGTCACGCTCCCTCCTTTCTTTTTTTTCTTCTATTTGTACGGATAATGAGCTACCGTTCACATAGGCCTGAAATCGTCAGGGATTCGTGGTACGAGACATCAAGTGAAAAAAATTTCAAAGGGTTTTAAAGGGTCAGTGTTACCGGAACTGAGCACACATACTGCACTGTCGTGACTGCATCACAGATTTTCCCTGCAACTTAGACTGATATGGACGCAATAAGTTAAGTAAGTGAGAAAGTAGGTACGTTATATAAACGATGCTCTGCAACTACATTTGTTCATAGCGTAACGACTGCAGCTACAGCTCCGAGAAAAGAATTGTCTTCTCTGCACTATTACCCTTAGTGAGGTGAAGCGCACCTCACTAAGCGTAATCTGGACGTTGTAATACGGCGCAGCATCTTGCGCGTCACTTCCTGGTATCGGAACCAAAGTTAACGTTGATTGGAACGGAACTAAAACCGAGAACAAAAAAAGAAAGGTATTTATTGCCGGAACGAAAACGTAAAACGTTATCTATTATTTTGTTCTGGAGTGAAACCGAATAATTTTTTTTATCGTTTTTAAGTTTATGTAGAAACTGGACAATTCGGAACAACCCAGGTCATGCATAGGGAGCAATAATGCATATCTCGGAGAGCAGTTCTAGTGCGTACAAGAATCTATGAATCTATTAGCAGAGATGTGTTTAAGTTGTGTGAAAAAATGAAAACAGTAGCAATTAACCAGAGATTTTTTTTTTTGTAAGTGAACTCAAGTGAACTTTCGGTGCCTGTAACACATAACAGGATGAAGAGGACATTCTCGGGGTGGAATGGACTCTCCATTGTAAATGGTGGGAGTCACATGGTCCGGATAACCAGCGATGTTTGTTTAGGAAAACTGTTCTTTATTTCACGAAACCACGAGTTTTGTAACGCTGATTTCAAAGCGGTGAAAGCTATAGCCATCTTTATAACTTTCGAGTGACTCGAACCATAATTAGGTAGCAGTTGCTTGATCCTGGGAATGTACGCGAATATCTATGTAAAGTAGGCATAGTTTATCACCTCCCGTTGACGTGAGGGAAAACTTATATCTGAGAAAGCGGCATTTAATGTCAGACCAAAAGAATACGAGTGACCGCTTTCCGATATCCAGGTCTTGGGCTTACATTTTCCCGGGAATTGCGTTGAGCGTGAGTGTTGACCCGTTTTTTAATGATGGTATAGTAGTTTTCAGGCATAAAAGATACACAGGCCTCACATCAGGCCTTCCACATCAGGAGAAAGTGTGAATGATGTGCCAGCTGATCAATATCTGCGGTCCACTTTAACTAAGCGGGAGTGATTGTTAGTTTGAAATTTTTTACCAGTGTTGTTTCTTGGCTACGCGGTTTTTCTCTTTTTTTTTGTCAGTGACACATCAGACTTGCTGCGGCTTCTAGGGCTGAAGCACCTCAGGGTCTAGCCTTGTCCCTGCGATGTACGTGGCTTGCACGCGCTGGCAGCGGCAGCCGCGAGCGCACCGATCATAGACGAGAACAATGATGATCGCAGGTGCGCCCGTGGCACGCTGTTTCTTTCGCTGCGGTGCCCCGAGATACGCGCCCGGCTCTCTCTCCCATGGTCATGGAATGCACTTCGTTATGAATGAAGACAGCATGGCTCGCAGCGTGGCAACGCAGTCTTGAGTTTCGGGCTCGCAGGACGGCTGCAGCCCAGCTGCGCAGGCAAGCGGATCTAGACTTGCAGGCTCGCAAAGCTGCAGCGGCACGGAAACGTCGTCTTCTCGAATCGCAGGTTGGATCCTATACAACAGCTCTTAGCTTTACATTTCATCGATCGTAAGGCGGTCATAATGAAACGAAAACGCCGCCCACATCACATCACCGTATCCGCATTGTGATTAACAAACAGCTTTGTATTGTCGGGCCGATGCGCCCTTATCTGCAACGCACGGTGGAAGCAGGGTGGAGAGAACACGTGCACATTGCCCATGTGCATGACGATCGTCAGCGTCCCAAAAGGCCACAGGAGGCGGAAAAAGTGAGCTGGCCCATAAGAAGGAACGTGAGACGAGTCCGCAGACTTTTTGGAGGCGGAATGGCGATGGGATACTGTGACGGTCGCGCTAGGTGTAACGGTTTTCCTCGGTGAGTGTCTCAGAGCAGAGGTCACGCTGGTTTGGGGCGTCCACTGGGGCGAGTAGTTTGCCCGTCTTATACTGCGAGTTGCGAGTGAGTTCGTTTAATTTCCTGCCGTTATGTTTCGCACCTGCTTCCCTCCTATTATGTTTCGCACCGTATCTTCCGTTGACCGCCAGTCCGCGGGGATTGTTCGCTCCGGGCTTTTGGTTCTCTAGTATGCATTTGTGCCTTCTTGTGCCGGTCTGTAAGGCTTGTTAAGTTTCTTTTCAGTCGTGGATTAAAAGTGGTTCTTGTTCCCAACGTTGCTGCCTCGTACCACGTGAATTGCGGCTCACTAACCCACCTGAGCGGAGGTGGGGCCTTCAGTATTTATGGTACACACGTATTGTCACGACTTTGCATGATCGAGTGGGTGATTTACGGGGGTTCATGATGCCCCGGAGCTTCATCCATTCGCAATCATTCACTTCGTGGGAATGCTGTGATTTTTTCAAAGGTTGACACGGTTTTCAATAAACTAGTTGCGAGTCTGCGATAGTTTTAGTCATTTCTTTCTTCGTACGTGTCTCGTCCTGCGGAGAAGATTTTCTGAAGATGCTCGGCGCGAAAGTTTGTTTTATATCAACAGTGGTCTCGAATATGAGAAATACGCTTGATGACGGGGTGCTGCTGACATCACATCCCCTCCCGTGACGCAAAGCATCGAGCCCGCAAAAAAAATATATATATATATATGTAATTTTCTTTTGAGGAAATCTGCTATTATTAGAAGGGTACTGATTTGTGCTGATTTATAGATATCCATGGTGCGGTTAGTTGTGCTTCTCTTAGGAACGTGAGAAAAACGGCTCTACCCTTCTCCCATTATATTAAAAGGAACACGAGCAACTTTACAATAAATTCAATATTTTTTATCGTTACCGTAACTTAAATTTTCACATGCAAATACATAGCGTTACGAACCGTCACGATTCATTATTTTTATCATTCCTGAACAAAAACTGAATAATAATTACAACACGACATACCAATCCGTAGTCGATATGACCACTTAAGGATCCATTACAGCCAAATTATGTTGTGGTTTAATTAGCGAGTACAATATTTACATAAAAAATTCCATAACAAATCACATAATGAAAAACGCTCATGTGAGAAAAAAATGATGATGATGATATGTGAGGTTTAACTTCCCAAATCCACAATATGATTATGAGAGACGCCGTAGTGGAGGGCTTCGGAAATTTTGACCAGCTGGGGTTCTTTAACGTGCACTCAAATCTGAGCACACGGGCCTACACCTTTTCCACCTCCATCGAAAATGCAGCCGCAGCAGCCGGGATTCGATCCCACGACCTGCGTGTCAGCAGCCGAGTACCTTAGCCACTAGACCACCGTGGCGGGTCGTGAGAAAAAAAAACAGAAATGATTTGACATGTACATACATTTAAATGACATCAATATGATAACTGGTAACTCCACGATGGAAAGAGTTTCCTGAGTGACTGCATCATATGTGGCAGACGTTTAATTAGGGTAGGGATGCCTTTACAAATTATAGCAGCAACAAGGCCGTAGACATTCTGTACTATGGGCAGATTAAGATTTTGTTGTTTTGCCTGCTGAGTATGAGCTCTGGGTTTTAGTAAAATAATGAGTACGTTATTATTCATTATTTTGTGTAATAGTATGGCACTATTGAATTGCCTAATTATATTAAAAGGCATTATGTTGAGATTTATAAAATGTTCAGCCAATGGTGCATTCTTGGGTGCTAATGCAATGGCTTGCAATGGTTCGGTTTTTGCAAAATGGTAACGACTGAGCAATATGAGGCATATGTGTAACTCCATGATTCAATGCAATAAGTTAAATGAGAATGGAAAACGTTAAAGTATAAAATACGGAGTATGTGTGCGATATAATAGTTTCTGGCCTTAAATAATGGAAAGCCTTCAAAGTTTACTTTTATACACAAATTATCTATGTGCAATGTTTACTGAAATGAATGTCACACCAAGGTAAGTATATACGTTTACAGTATCATTCGGTAGTTTCCCCGATTAACAGACCACGTGTTTCAAGTATCACTATTCGGCTAGAGGCGAAAACAACGTACTTGTTTTTTAAAATTTTTAATAATAGGATTTGTTTAAACCACTGAAAAGTCATTTGCACTTCTTCATTTGGCTTTCTGGCTTTCTGAAGAGAGTGATAAGCTATAAGCAAAGCAGTGTCATCTGCACACAGAGCTGCATGCATATCGGTTAAGGATAGAGGATAATCATTAATGAACAGCGCGAAAAAAATCTGCCCTGAGGCTTTGCGGCACGTGCATGCTTCGTCGAGTTTCCAGTTTGATTTGTTACAAAGTATTTGTACATATTGAGTCCGTTCGGACAAATAACTGCGAAAGAACATTGAAGATATTCCTCTAAATCCATAGAGTTCAATTTTGTTAAGCAATATACTGTGTTCCATTGAATCGAAAGCTTTTTTTATGTCAAGAAATATACCAAGGACGAATCGGTTATCGTTTAATGCATGGTTTGCTTCCACAAAGTTTACCGTAGCAGCCGACCTGTGTTCTTTTTCAAGGCTGTTTCCCTCTAGCTCTTCCCTCCTCCTCCCGAAAGTGTAAGCAGGCGCCGTACCCCTCCAGGGGGCAGCTTGCTCTCTATCTCTCTCCTCTGTGTCCTTGTATATCAGTGTATGCAGATAAAATAAAAAAAAATAAATGTTGATTCGGAGTTAGGATTCTTTTGACAACAAGCTTACCAGAAAGAGTGTTCACACCAGATGGAATGCGGCGGTAACTTGCTGTGTGGTCAGAGTATTAGGCTTTGCGAATTGGTGTCACCCTTCTGCTCGGAGCCTGTCGTGAAGGATAGGTAGAAGATAACAGCTAGAGGCGTGCTTAACGTTTCCATATTGTCCCTCAGTATCTTAATGGGTCACGTCCCATGGCCTTGTGTGATGTGATCAGACGTACAACTGCGATAATTTCAGGTCTAGCAATATTACGAAAAAAGAAACTATCCTCGTGAACAGCATGGAATGGCGATTTATATTTTTCATTGTTGCCGGCTGCTTTCCTATGGTTACGAAATAATCATTAAAAAGTTCCGCTAGCTCCTTTTTATTACCACTTGTGATACTTAAATTTGGTAAAACAGGCTGTCGAGGCTCCAGATTTACTACTTCCTCTATTATACGCCAAATTAGTTTTGTGCCACCGTTCACTTTCAGGCTACTGTAATATTCGTTTTTTTTTTCTCATAATTGACAACGACAAATTGCGCGTGTTTCTGTACAATTCTCCACAATAACTGTTATCTTTCTACACAGAAAAATATCTGGGATTTTACAGTCAAAAAAAAAATCACCATATGGTAATGGGAGACGCCGTAGTGGAGGGCTCCGGAAATTTCGACCACCTGTGGTTCTTCAACTTGCAACTAAATCTGAGCACACGGGCCTCAAAGATTTCCGCCTCTATCGAAAATGCAGCCGTCGCAGCCGGGATTCGATCCCGCGACCTGCGCGGTCAGCAGCCGAGTACCTTAGCCCCTAGACCACCGCGGCGGAGCCATTTATCCATGCCAAACAGCACTGTTCACGGAAAAATAAAATCTCAAGTCGCTTTGCTGCAGCACTGATACGTGGTATCAAAGAAGGCACTGATAGTAATGATATTGATATAAAAATAATAGGTGTTCGTACGTGATGAATAAGTGTGCGAATTAAGCGAAGTGTAAGCATGCGTGCAGTATTACGCTGACTCCCAATCGTTAGCGTAAACTTCTGGGTGGAGAGAGTTAGGAAAGGAATGCAGGTACATACCACGTTGAGCGTATTGAAGTACGGCGCATCGTTGGCGTTAGGAAAAAGAGGGCTGTTATGACGCACCCAGGGCGTGTACCAGTTATAGATGTTCAAGTCGTACGTCATCAGGTTCACAAAGTCCACGGACCTGCGGGCGTGCACAATGAAAGAATAAATACGAAGGCGATGCCGGTGGCGATAAGACTTCGCACTAAATAGTGTGCATGCACGTTTCAATGATCCGGAGCTTTTCTCTGCACGCTCCCGTCTTTCCTGCACGTTGTGAGAACGTAAAGAGAAAACCACACTCTATGCGCACTGCAGGTTCTGCTTTGCTTACCGGCGGAGTGTCATCGTAGACACGCAATAAATGTTCAAACCATGATTTGTGCACAAACTCTAATATCGATTAATACCAGTAATTACCAAGCTAATGCATTGATCTGTGTCTGAAAAAATTGCATGGTTCCTAATGCCCTCACCTAAGACGTCTGGAAGGGGAACGACATCTTTTTATTCTTGGTCGATGTACTGATCCTTGGCCCTCCGAGAGGTTTCTGCACCCTACACGGTTTTTCATGGCCTCCAGGATCGGAGGCACCTCGCCTAGTTTTCCACAACGTCCATGATCTGCTTACTTTAGACCAAGCTACAACGTCGTGCGGTGATGTCACGCAACGTCACGTCACGTGACGTCACAAATTTTGGCTACATTTGACATCATCAGGTGCCGATAATCGTTGCATTACTCGTGAATAGACGCCGATGGTGAATGCCGACGCGAGACGCCGGTCAATTTTCGCGTTTGATGCATACGGGGCATGCGCCTTCACACATTTAGTTTGCCAATAATCTAGCGACAAAGGACTTGACAATGACTAGGTGGTCTCTAAGTACTTACGATATACAATCGCACACAAGGCCACTTATAAACTGGAAATCTATTCGGCGTCTCTCTTTTTCTTTCTCTTTTTTATATGGTATGGTATAGAGAACATTATTGTGTGTCTTTTTATGGTCGTATTAATAATTCGTTAAACTTCCCACCCACTGGTAAATGTATACAGCACAGCAGTCACAGCACACTTACCTGGCCATGGAGTATACGTCATATGCGCCAATGACAAGCAAGCTTTGAGCAGGCACCGCAACGGACAGCAGCAGGGGCAAGTAGGCTTCCTTCTTGAACTCCATGTACGCCGTCTGGATATTATAGCATAACATGTGTGGCATGCCGAAGTACAAATTTTGAAGACGCATTTTAATATACGTAATTTGCTGGGACATGCTCGACGTGTTCCTTTGCATTCGTCGGGCCAGCTCTGTACGTCAGTTTTCTTAACACTGTCGTATTTAAGTTACCATTGTTCTCGCCGTTCCTGGGTAGATAGAAACTGCCAATCACACGTAGAGCATACCCACGTATTGCAGTATACGGGTGTGTGCCATACCTCTCTGGAGGAAGGCCTTGACGACGTACGCGACAGGATTCTCACGTTATTCATGTCATGACCAGCCAGGCATAATAGTAAAACCCGTGCCCGCTCCCGTACTAATTTTGATCTATACCACAAGTCAAGCAGGCGATCACGAGTGAATCCAGACGTAGACAGCTAGATAGATAGAAGCGCTCTAAGTTACTGCAGTCAGCTAAGAAACACTTCGCATTTTAAAAATGAAACTTACAATAGGAAAGGTTGGTGGTAGCCCCGGTTACTATTTCTGGCTAAGCAAACAAATTAATACGAAAAAAAGTGGGAAAAAGGAAGGTGTCACAAAATTTTAGATGCAGTACGAGCTGCATATTACAACACGGAGTAGTAAGCGAAATAGACCATTCTGTACCTGTGTCCACTCGAGGCTGGTCGTTATCTACCGTTTCGGGCATTGATATTCATGAAACTAATCAACTAAGTCAATACGCGAATAAATAATTCGATTCATCAGGTATTGTTCCGCCAGAGTGGCTGCTGTTTTTTCAGTGCCATCTTTGTTTTCCATAGCAATGATACCTGAAACGCTTGAACGTGTATACATTACGGTCGTCAAGCCGCACGAATGTCTCACACGTGGACAGTATTTTATATATATATATATATATATATATATATATATATATATATATATATATATATATATATATATATATATATATATATATATATATATATATACAATTATGCAAATATTTATTGCCAAAGAAGGTGATCACGTCATGGCGTTGTATTCTCAGCCAGGAATAAAGTTAGCAATGTCTGTGCAGCGCTGCGAAAACGTAATGCCAAAGGCCCATTGTTGAAGGATTCGTGTTCCATTAAGAACACGAATGTTTTTGCGCCACGTGCCATTGACGTTGTCCCTTCACGTGTGGAAGTGTTTGCATCAGCCAATCGAAGCGATGAGTAAACTCGAGACTGAGGCAGTGTCATAATTTTCTCAGAGGTAACGTATACGCTCGACGCGCTTGGGCGATGCACTGCGTGAGATTGCGGGTGAACCGCCTAATTTTCTCGAACGAGGACTCTTTTCCACCACCCCGATCAGTTCACACGGGCAACGCCTCCTTCCCCTCTTTCAACGCCAGTGCAAACGCGCGCTTCTCAACGGGAGCCGTCGGTCCACCTTACTTCAAGAAGTGGTCGTTATGCGACGCTACATGATGGGTATAGCGCTGCTTGCTTCACGCGTGCGCCCGAGCACTTTCCCCCGGGGATGCGATAGGCGTGTTTCCCTTTTCAATCTCATATACGTGCGTCAGATTTGTTCCCTCGTGCTTCAGCTTTGTGGCCCGAAGCAAAGCCGCCACTGCATCACAAGTCAGCGCGTGCAGTAGCGTTGCAGTGACGCTTCCAATCGGTTGATAGGAGCCACCAACGGCGGCACGCTATCTCAAAACACCGTATCTTTCACAGAGCCAGCGTGACCGCCAATACAGTAAACTAGAGTAGGGAGCATACATGACCACTTGGCAGTCATGTAGGCTCCATAAATACAATGAATGCAAGATGCCACCCCACGTATCTCTACACAAATGAACAAAGAAAAATTACTTCATATGACTTCCGTCGTGAGGCACTGCATGAGGGGTTCTCTCTCCCATGCCCGCAAAGCACACGCGAAGGCTATAGGCGATGGGCGAGTGCAGGAAAGGGTTAGAGGAGTGGGTGGTGAACAGCTGGATCGTTCGCATCTGGCTGGCATTGATAAAATAGAGGAGGCGCTGACATGGGAAGTCTTCAAGGCCCACTGAATGCAGAAGGCAGGGCGTAACTGCATCAGCCAACCTCCAATAACCCTCCAGGATAAAGAAATTTCCTTGTCAGATTACTGTAATTGTTAGCACTGTTAAGTGTAACTGATTTGTATCTCGCCAGGAGTGGCGTCACGAGTTTTCCTGCTTTGTAAGAACATGCGCAGTGAGAAGTATATTATGATATTTACTCGATAAAAATTTTCCGCCGAATGTTAGCGCACGTGTTATGTCTATCCTTTTCTCGGTCCCCCCCCCCCCCCCCCTTTTTTTTTCATGGGCCGTTTTAAATCTACTAGCTATGAATCGTCACCAACTTTCCCAGTTTCTAATTCTGCTCGATCGTAATATTATCATTAATATGTAACACAAACGCGGTCCAAAATATCATATAAGGTGATTGATGAACCCGAATTACTATCTACATGACGAGAAACAAACAGCATTTAGAAGCCCGATGCAGCGGACTATCAAGTGCAAGTCGTATCTCATGATCGCTATCACCGTAGCTGCAATCATGGCACATACCAGCTGTAATTCTGCAGAAGCTGTACTGCCGCAAACGTTAAAAAAGATAAGTTTGTCGCATAAGCGTAGAACAACGAATGTAATAGAAAGTTCGTAGCGTAACAAGTGTTTTTATCAGCTGATGAAAAAAGGCCCTTTGTGAACCCTTTACTGCAGAGTGTCGCGAATTTAAGACATGCGTGCCGCTTTTAATGACGGCTGTCAAGTACTCAAGGGGAATGTATAGCTTTCAGCGTAATAAAATCTGGCGCCGTCTCGTCTAAGGCATTTTATGCTAGAACCAATTGTTTTGTAGCTTTTGAAGCACGTGTAACATCTCTCACTTCGTTTTTTCTCGCATGCGTGAAGCAAGTTCTATCTTCAATAATTTTGTTTATTTGGTGTATGCGCACCCAAGAGATGGCACACTACATGTTACGTAGTTCTGAAGCAAATTTTTTTGTGCAAGGTCCTCACGTCTGCGGCATATAAAGAATTCACGACATACACAAAAGTACGCATTAAATTTGCATTTAGAAAGTATAACTGCGAAATCATTTAAAAGTTGGTTTTAAAGCTGAAAAATGAAAGCGATTTTCATTTTTGGGCACTTTAATAATTCAGGCATTGAAAGGATTAGATAACAATGCAAACAGCCCCCTCTACACGTGACGCCCTTTCCTTCAGGCATATTTGCTTTGTTGCTGCTGCAGAAAGCCGTAATAACGCCATGGTACACTGAGCCGTAGGTGCGTACTATAAACGGCGTTCGGATTGGCACCGTGTTATGGAGACGCTTAGTTCTAGTAACGGCCTACAAGACGAAGGCGGCGTGCAGTTGGTTATGTAATATTGGAGGGCATGTTGCCTCTCTAAGCGGCGCACCTTGAGTAGGCGTGAAAAGCGAGCGGCATCCAGCAGCTTGGGGAACTCCCAGTCGATGTCGAGTCCGTCCAGGCGAGCCGCTCGCAGTGCTGATATCGCCGAGGCGATGAACCTGAGAAGTGCATGGTACATACACGATGCCGTTTAAAAATATTGAGACGCAACATTACAGCAATCAATCGATCGATATCTGGTAAAATTCGTCTGAACACACCACACACACACACACACACACACACACACACACACACACACACACACACACACACACACACACACACACACACACACACACACACACACACACACACACACACACACACACACACACACACACACACACACACACACACACACACACACACACTGAAAAAAAAACAAGCACTCACTACACTCGACCGAGTGCCGTGTCCTTGTCACCGTTGCCCAGTACGCTACTTCACCATATACGGTACGACGATCGGTCACACACCATCCCAGCTCTCATCCTCATCAACCTCTATAGGTGATCCAAACAAACTTTCAAGAGTTGTGACGTTATACTGGTCAAAGGTCATCAAGTCATTCTGACGAATTCTAAACAAACGCGTGTACAGCCCATTTCCAACAGCGGTATTCGTAATTATATTCCGCAGTTACAAGTCGCGCTGTCAGAAAATGTATGGAATTACCGTTTCTAGCAAATATCTACACCATGCAGTGTACTTAGGATCGAAGTGCTTTAGCCCAGAGCTCACTGATTTCTTCCTCCTCAATCGCGGATGCGGAATCTCTGGTATTATGCTTACGTCACCTCCATCTGCTGTCGGCACTGGACACCATGGTCCTGAAGTTGCCCTCGCCGCCTCCACCTCCGATGGAGATCATAAGCTTGATGTCCGGTCGGCGCTTTCGCAGAGTGACCAGTGAGGCCAGTCCCTGGGGGCCACCGAGCGCGTCCAAGTTGATGCTACCGTCTTCGTCGACGGTGCCGAAGCCCATGATGACGTGGCTGCACATTTGTACGTTCACCGAGGCGATGGGAAGCGAATCTGTCGAGTTGGTCGGCGCCACCAGGTAGCAGACCTGCTGAAACGAGCCTGCGGGGCATTAAGCGCGGCCGAGGCCTGTTTAGGATACGTCACTGGGTGGCACGATCATCATCTGCAACAAATAATCACTACCGCTTTTGCAGTGTTTCGAGCGCGATTGCACTTTAAAGCAATCGTGAGAGTCAGCAACTAACTTTTTTTTTTGTAGAGAACACTCTTCTTACGTTTTTCAAAAGTTCAGGCAGTGAGTCAAGAGAGGTAACGAGCGTGCAGCAATGCGCAAGTGTACCATACAGAGTTTTTGAGTCCAAGGCGCGGAAGTGTCATGGACACCAAAGATGACAATAATAACATGTCACTTCGCCACCATGGTTAATCCCTCCAACTAGCCCCCCAAAATACGTACTGGTGAGAGAGATGTTAACGAAACCAGCAGCCGGAAAAGTTTCATGAAGCACTGAAGTCACATTTTCATTCCTTTATATCACATCAGTCCCATTCCAATTTTAAATGTGAGGTCATCGGGAATATTTTTTTGTACGAATGCATAATTTGTCAAAAGTTTAGGAGTTAGCGTGAATGAGAGGATCTGTCGTGTGGCTGTACCACCGCGTTACTTGCTGCTTCAAAATAACATATGAAAAAGAAAGTGATCTTTGCTATATTGAGCTTAGGAGCTATATACAATTGTTCTCTGTGAGTTCTGATTTGCCAAAAGCTTCACATGACGATGAATGTTGTTACCAAAAAAATTGTTTGATAACTCTTCGACGACGACCGTATATTGTTAACAAAGAAAATGGTATGGGGCAGTTAGGTAAAAAAATTTAATGTCAAGAGTCTACAGCTCAAGACGGCATGCATAATGACCGACAAGTTGGCCTTTCAATAGTTTCACAAAACGAATGACACAAATTTTGCTGAACAGGCTTACGTGCTAAATGCCAGAAGCAGCAGGTACACAGAGCTGCTAGCGCCCAATGCAGTGGCGATGGTGGTGAAGGCGGTGGCGGCAGTAGTAGCTCCATGTTGGCTATGCCATCCAGACAGCCGACTCTCGTGGTCCAGGCGGTGGTCTGACCGAAGCTGCGCAGACGGGAAGCCAGGACGGTTGCTCAGTGCACCACTTAGGCGGGGAGCGATCGCAGCCTGCAGCGGAAGATACGGAGAGAGCGACAGGTTATCGGACGCCCAAAAGAAAGCGCCAACACGCCAGTCATTGTCCCGGCAAGAATGCGTCGTAAAAACGCAAGAGAAGGCGGCAGCAAATAAAAACGTGTGTGCGGCAGCAGTTGCAGGTGGGAATGCCTGGTATAGAAAGAATGGGAGTAATAGGTCTCTCGCAGCATAGCAGACGGTGGCGACAGTACACAGGGAGAGAGAAAAGAACTGCAAAGAGGAATGACGACTGCGCTGTCAACGGGTAGTCGACGCATTCCCTTTCGCAAAAGGGGCTGCTTGTTCGGGCTGGCGCCGCCGCTGCCTGTGCAGCGGAGAAATGGACGCATGCGCCGTGAGATTGGTTCGAAATTGGGGTCCCTACTCTGTCGAGGGGCCAAGGAGCAAACAGTGGAGCGACTGCGCCAAGACAAACTGACGCATGAAACGACATGTAGCGGCCACTCGCGAGATTTGCGCTTCACTCGCTAGGTAAACACGCGTTTCTGTCTGTGCTATGTATGTGCCCGCCATCGCACATGTCGCCAGCCAGTCCGGTGGACGAGGAATGCCTGTCTATATGTGATTAGAGAGGGAGGTGCACTTAGTGATGATTGATATGTGGGGCTTAACGTCCCAAAACTACCATAAGGAAGTGCATCAGAACCGGCGTGTTTTATTGAGAAATAAGCACGTGTTTGGTTCTCTCCGGGTTCAACATGCTAATTATGTTCCAGTTTAGATAAAGAAATATAATGTCTCACGAACCAATTCGCTATAACAAACATGTTTACAAACGCGTTCGGTATACAGTAAACTTCATTTTACTGCACTCAACTTCCTCTAAAAAGGAAGAAGGCAACTGTAGGCCAAAAATAATGCGCTTATTGTCACATGGTCATCGTACTGCCACATGATAATTCGTTGTTATGAAAGGTACAATATTAATTTTTGGGGCTTAATGACCTAAAACCACCATATGATTATGAGAAACGCCGTAGTGGAGAACTCAGAAAATTTCGACATAGGGTTCTTTATTGTGCACCTAAATGTAAGCACATGGGCTTCAAGCATTTTCGCTTCCATCGAAAGTGCGGCCGCCACGGTCGAGATTCGATCCCGCGACCTGAGGGCCAGCAGTCGACGCCATAGTGGCATAGCCACAGGATCACCGCGATGGGGTTATCTTCCAAGTTTCATATTTATGTGCTTTATTGCGTTACAACTGGAGGTATGCACTTTTCGCTCAAGGAACAGCAACAGATTGTATGCCAGAATTTGGGAATGCCTGCTGACTGCGCTCCAGGTCACCTGTATTATTTTGCGGATTTTTTTTTTTTTACACGAGTAGGCTCCCCTGTTGGTAAATGACCTAGGTGTACATATTCTCGCACTGACTCCGGAAGTTAGTTGCTAATAATGAACCATTTTTTGTTCTCCAAGCTATAAACTATAACGTCTGTCTTCAGCATAATATTTTTGCATAATCCGTCCATCCGTCCACCCGCCCGCCCGCCTGCCTGCCCGCTGGGTAGTTCTCGGAGTAGTTCTCTGCTGTTCGAGGCCAAAACGAGAGTACTGTGAACCAAGACGTATCGAGCCAAATACGAAGGCACAGACACGGTATGTAGTGCGTGTGGAGAGGAGGAAACGGCTGAACATTTGATAAGGTTCTGTAAAGGGCTCCACCCTATATTCCAAGATGATCGCGCGCAATTTTTCAAAGCATTGGGGTTTAGGGAGAATGAATGCAAAGAACCAGGTGGGGTTAACTGATTGGTGGCTGCAATCAAGGAGCAACTGAAATTCTAAACACATAGTGATAGTACAAAACGTTTTGTCTAGGTGGCGGGAGCCGATCTAAAAGGCACAGCCGGACCCATCCCATCCCATCCCATTCCATTCATCCATCCAGTCTATCCCGTCCGTCCATCCGTCCGTCCATCCATCCATCCATCCATCCATCCATCCATCCATCCATCCATCCATCCATCCATCCGTCCATCCATCCATCCATCCGTCCATCCATCCATCCGTCCATCCATCCATCCGTCACTGCTTCTGATTTAAAAATGTCAGCGATGACAGCTTTTTTTTCAAGCTGTTAGTGCTGTTTTTCGCGCGAGATCCTGCGAGTTCAGCGTGACGCACGTGGCAAAGGCATAGAATACATGCCTATCAAGAATAAGTAATCAGCGAATAGGAATGCGTAAAAAAATCGCTTGTGCTTGCCGTATTCATCAGCGTCGATTACTATACGAGATGATGAGCTACTATTTCGCCGCTGACCCGGCCACAGTCTAGTAGCTATAAGGGGCGTACGAGCGTCACAAAGGCTTTGTGAGCGATCGACTTCACAAGCCCTGAAGCTCCGGGGGCTAAAGAAGGCTTGCTAACACGTGACAGAAATGGTTTTTTATGCTAGATTTAAGTGAAACGTGCATCGGCCCGTGTTAGTGCGCACTGACGACGTGGAAGAATCACTGTTCTGAATATGAGCAACTATTGCGATTATTAAATTAGCGATTACTAGTTTCATCATCAGCCTGACTAAGCATGGAAATGCAGTTATCGAAACTATGTATCCTTTTTTTACCGACATTGTCCAAGTACCGTCCCTTTAAGGCTATGCCCCTAAATCATGGTGCGGTATATCATCATCATCATCATAATCATCATCATCATCATCATCACCATAATTATCATCATCATCATCATCAGTCATCAAGTCTCAGCCATCTGCAAGGCAAAGGCCTCTCCCATGATCCGCCAATCAACCCAGTCTTGTGCTTTCTGCTGCCACGTTATACCTGCGAATTTTTTAATCTCATCGGCCGACCCAACTTTCTGTGTCTCCTTCGTGCGTTTGCCTTCTCTGGGAATCCAGTCAGTTACCCTTAATGAACAGCGGTTATCCCGCCTATGTGCTACGTGCCCGGCCCATGTCCATTTCTTCTCCTCGATTTCAACTACTATATCCTTGACCCGATTTGCTCCCTGACCCACTCTGCTCTCTTCTTGTCTCTTGAGGTTACACCTACCATTTTCCTTTCCATTGCTCGCTGCGTCGTCCTCAATTTAAGCTGAACCCTCTTTGTAAGTATCCAGGCTTCTGCTCCGTAGGTAAGTACCGGCAAGATGCAGCTGTTATACTTCCTCTTAAAGGTTAGTGGCAGACTACCATTCATGATTTGAGAAACGCTTGAGGAATGTGACCCACCCCGTCCTTATCCTCAAGTTATTTCACTCTCATGGTTTGGCTGCATGATCACTACCGGTCCTAAGTATATATATTCCTTTAAAACTTCCAGCTTCTCTCCACATATCGCAAAGTGCTGTTTTCTGTCGATACTCCTATAGCCTATTACTCTAGTTTTGTGCATAACAATTTTCAAACCCACTCTTCTGCTTTCCGGGTCCAGTTCAGTAACCATGAGCTGTAATTCGTCCCCTGAGGCACTCATCAAGGCAATGTCAGTGACTCCCAGGTTACTAAAATACTCTCCGTTAACTCTTGTCCTTAACTCTTTTCGATATAGTGCCCTGAAAACCTCCTGTAAACACGCGGTGAGTCGCATTGGAGAGATCGTGTCTCCCTGCCTTACACCCTTCTTCATTGGTATTCTGTCGCTTTCTTTATGGAACATTATAATGGCAGTTGATCCTCTGTAGATTTTTTTCCAGGATCTGTATACATATGATTTGTCAACGTCCTGATTCTGCAGAGCCTGCATGACTGGTGATATTTCTATTTGAATCAAATGCCTTCTCCTAATGTATGAAAGCTATGCATAGAGGTTGGTTGTATTCCGCGCATTTCTATATTACCTGATTGATAGTATGAATATGGTCTATTGTAGAGCAGCTTGTACGGAATCCTGCTTGGTTTTTTGGTTGACTATAATGTCACCTTAATTGTATTAGCTATTATTTTTGTTAACAGTTTGTGGGGAACGGACAGTAAGCTAATCAGCCTGTAATTTCTCAAGCCCTTCACGTCTCCTTTCTAATGAATTAAAATGACGTCGGCATTCTTCCAATATTCTGATACCCTTCCCGTCAATAGACACTTCGTATAAAGGTGGCCAGTATGTCTAACGCAATTTCTCCGCCATCTTTCAGGAGGTCCTTTGTTGCGTTGTCCTCACCAGCGGCTTTTCCTCTTTGCATTCATTCTAGAACTTTCCTTACTTCCCCCCTTTTTTACTGGCAAGATGCCGAATTCTTCTGGGCTATTAATGTTTCTTACAGTATCAGGCTGGTTGTTTTGGCTTTTGTACAGCTCTCTATAGAACTCCTCCGCCACCTCAACTATCCTATCCATATTGGTTATGTACATTGCCTTCCTTGTCTCAGAAAGCATACATCTGATTTTTGCCTATGCACAAGTTTGCTTTCGAAGATTCCAGGTTTCTGCCATTTTTTTTACAACCTGCTTAATTCTCCATGTTATACCTTCTATTGGTGGCTCCCTTGCGTCTATTGATTAACTTCGAAAGCTCCACTAGCTCTGTATTGTCGGTTGCATTTGAGGCTATCATGGTTTGTCGTCTCTTAATGAGATTTTTCGTTCCCTGAGGTAGTTTGCCAGTGTCCTGGCTAGTGACTGTACCTCCGACTTCCATTGCACTTTTTGATGATACGAGGAATATTATCGTTCATTTTGTCAGCGCTAGCATCTGTTACCCCGTTTAGAGCATTCAATCAATTCTGAATAACTTCGAATTCCCGTATTTTTTCTCTCACCGCTAACTGATTAATTGGCTTATTATGTATCAGTTTATGTCTGTTTTTTAAATCTAGATAATTACGAGCTCCTACCATTTTATCGTCACTGCATTGAATCTTGCCAACTATTTCTACGTTCTGTACAATGCCTAGGTGTGCACACAGAATGAAGTCTATTTCATTTTTAGTTTCGCCATTAGGACTTCACTACGTCCACTTACGGCTAGCCCGTTTTCTGAAGAAGGCATTCAAGATCCGTAGATTATTACGTTCTGCGAACCCCGCTAATAACTCCCATCTGGCATTTCAAGAGCCAATGCCATGTTTCCCACTGCATGGTCTCCGGCCTGTTTCTTGCC